AAAGCTACTAATTGAAGCACTCCTGACAAATTTATAGTGAATCCCAGGGACCTAAATTTACAAACCACTGATCTACAGAACAGAAACCTGTCACAGAAGACAGCTCTTTCAAGATCCTTTTGATTGGTATAGGTAGCTATATATTGGCCCCGTTCACACGAGGCGTTTTGGGCCGGGAGTGGGCCAAATTGGAGACGAAGCAAACTGGCGCGTTCCCACGCCAACATCTGGCTGGCGTGGCGCTCCCGTCTCCGATCTGGCCCTTTCCCCGGCTGCGGCGCGTCAAAAGTGAACCACCTACCGAGGTGGTTCATCCGGATGACGCGCCGCAAGCCGGGCCGTCGGATCGCCAGCGCGTCTTTGCGCCGGCGCATCCCCAGCTCCTAGCCGAACTGCGCATGCTCGGACATGTCGGAGCATGCGCAGTTCGGCAGGCTCCCTGTCAGGGCCCTGGTTTCTCCCCGGCGTCTGATCGCGCCGGGGAGAAAAGGCGCAGCGGCCAGGGGATCCGTGGGATCCCGCCGCGGTGTCTCAACTTTGGCGCGGCTTTTAAAAGCCGCGCTTTTAGAGGCTTTTTCCCTGCCGTGTGGCAGGGACCATAGTAACTCTTCAATGGAAATGGATTTGATCTTGAAGAAATTAATTCACCGCATGAAAATCATGGTTTACACTCTTTTTTATTCCTGATGTATTAGCTGTACCTTTCCTGATGGACTGTGAATGCATATTGGGAGGTAGGATTGCTATTCCAGTGCAGCATCCCAAGTTATATAATGAAAACTTGTTTATCGAAAAGTCCTGAATACCTGAGCTTAGTGTCCCTATGTAATTCTGTGTCAATGTAACTCTATGCAAGTTGTAGTTTGCTTCATCCTAATTATCCAAATGGTTACGTATTTATTCTGTGCTACTCAAAGAAATCAGACAATGCTGTGCTTTGGTTTGTGTATAAATGTATTTTTTAAAATTTCTTAGGTTTTCTACAAGGAATTTCTTCATCCAGAAGACTTCTCACAAGGAAAACCAGAGGTATTTTAAAAATATGTGGGAATTTTCAGTTGAAACATTCTTCCAGGGGCTTGATCAAATCTGTTTTTTTTCTTTTAGGATAAGAGACAGAATGGAACAAACCACACATCAGAAGCAGATAAGCCTGTAAGTGTTGTCGTTGTTGTTATACAGTATATAATTTATTTATATAATTAATTTATACCCCACCCTATCCCACGAGTATATTTAACTTCTCTTTTAGTTCCCATAAAAGATTAACCTAAAGAGTTTGCTGCTTTGGAAATTGATAGGAATCGTTTTCTTTTCCACTGAAGTAGTATTCTTTATATGGAAGAATCACCTGTTTCTTGAACTCTTAGGTAGGAAGGCACAGAAAATGACTCAGGTACTTATTTTGATTGTCGCTGACATACTGTCTGTGATGATTTATACTCCTATCAGTTGTTCTTTTTTTCAGGCAATGAATGCTGTGATGAAAACCTGGAAAGATGGGCCTTATATCTTTATTGTGCAAATAGGAGTTTCACCCTTAAAAGAGGCCAGTGTCAAAGAGAAAGGAATGACAAGTGAAGGATTACCAAAAGTTATGGCTACCTCTGATCCACAAGAAACATTTATTACCAGTAAGCCACGTATAATTAATAATTCATGATTTTTAGAATGTTATGCTTGATCTTAGGCAAAAGGCTGTGATGTGAATGTTGGAATGTTGTTTGGAATGTTTAAACACCAAGGACCAAGTCAGAATGATACCTGGTCTCCAGGATTGTTACTCTCCTAAAGTTTAGGAGTAGTACTTTGATTCATTGCAAGTAGAATTGTGGATGCTGAGTCTCATTGGACTGGGCCCTTCAAGGGGAAATAAATGAAGTCCTAGTTATTTTTAACGTGGGTAGTCATTTGAGTACTGAAATATCTGCAGACATCTTGGTTCTTAGGATCTTCTCTATATTTTATCCAGGTTTGTGGAGTTTTTGAGCAAGATAGAATGATCCCCAGTTCAGTCTTGAGATAAAGGAAAATTCCATATTTACCCAGCATGCTGATATTTGTTCTTTAGAAATATTCTTATTACTTTGTAAAGCGAGAAAGGACAGGACCTGTTCAAGAGAACCAACAGAAATCTTGATTTGGGTTAGAATATCTAGAAAAAGCATGAGTAGGCCAACACTTGTGATGACATTAAAGAACATATATGCAGGCAACAAACTGAGTACTCTTGTCCCTGTAGCAGATGAATGTACAAAGCAGATGGTTAGATGCCACCTAAAATTTCTGCCCACACAAAGGGAGGTGATTTTCATAAATTTCCTCCTCCTGGGACAAACCTCCGATTCTCCCCAAATGCTATTCTTGGGGTCTCCCATCCCACAGGAGCAGCATTGAGGGCATTTTTGCAGTGGGAGATGGAAAGTTGAGCTTCCATGGATAGGAATCCTTCCATCCCAGAAACTGTAGGTGGGATTCAAGCCATAAACGTGTTAGAGGATCTGCACACTTGTTTAAGTAAACCTTATGTATTTGAAAGAGTTACCGAAAGGAGTAAAACCTGTTGTTTCCCTTCCTAAAGTGCCACTTGTCCACTGAAGAGGGTATAGCTAATTGCTCTTTGGGAAGCAATACAGGAAGACTGATGAGATATCCCTACATGAATTGATAGGATGTGATCTTAAGGGGAAAATATAGGCATATATTCCAGTTCTTAAGAGGTGTGCAGATAGTGCAAAAATAAGGCACACCCTTCTAAATAATGCCTCCACAGGCATCTAACAAGGTTCACGTCTGCTTAGAACTTGGAGGAATTGTTTCATATATTCTCCAAACAATGGTATGACCCAAAGGAATAGTATTTATGCAGTTTATTCCTTGCTTTTCTACCTTCAAACAGGTCCTCAAAGTTTCTAATGTATATAAAAAGAAAAAATACAATTGAGTTCAAAATTAAAACAATAATAAGAATGTAACCCAGTTTGTGACCCTGTAAGTGATCAAATCTAGCCTTCGATCAATCAAAGCAGGTGTATTCCAAGGTATTCTGTCTTAAGTTCCCCAAAAATGAAATCCGGAAATCTTAATGATGCCTTTTTGAATGTGCTGTGTGTTGTAACCAGCTGAGTGTTTGAAAATCCCTGTTGTTGTTGGTGTTTTCCCCCACAGTCGCTGGCAGGCAGTGAAAAAAAGATTAATTAAGCCCTTGTTAGGCTGCTGTACATGGCCTGAATTCTGCAGAAAATTACTGCTAACAGATTGATGGGAGAGAGGTGATTTTTCCTGATTTTCTCCATCTTTTTGCAGACCGCCAGTTCCCTTCTCTTATTGTTCCTGGAGATCCCTTGTCCCACAGGAGCAGCATTTTGGGATAATTTTAGGATGCATCAGGGGAGGGAAAGGGAGGAAATCCCTTCTGTCAGTGGAACAAGACTTCCCCCCCCTCCTGACGGAAATCCCTGATGAAATCCCTTTCATCATTGGAGACTTATTGTGGGATTCACGTTATAACATTGTGACCACTTGCTTTGCTGTTTTCAAGTCATTCATATACTTTACATGAGTATTCTTGTTGCTTTGCCTTCACATGAGGAAAGGGAGAGGAGTAGAAGATGACCACAATAGTTTTGAATCATGATTGTGAGCACGAAATAAAACATGATTAAAATAAATAATGATTAAATAAAACATGAATAAAATCATGATTGTGAACAAGAAATAAGCCTGTGTGACTTTGGACCAGGCACACACACTCAGCCTAACCTCCCTCATAGGATTGTTGTGATAGGAAAACAATATTAGCCTCTTGGGGTCTCCACTGGGGAGAAAATAATGTTTAAAATAATGTAAAATAATGTTAAAAAAAGGTAAAATAATGTTTAAAAATTAAAGTGCCTAATTTGGTATCACAACAAATTGCAGTGTCCTGAAGACTTCCTGGTTTGGAGTTTCAGCACTGAGTGGAAGGGAGCGTACAAGCCTGAGAACTTTGGCTCTTTCTCATATCCAAACTTTTGTGACAAGAAATTGTTCTGGGTAATTATTTGGAGAAAAAAATGCAGCTTTATTTGAAACCCTATGAGAGATACGAAGTAGCTTTGCAAAAAAATTGGAACTAAACTGTAATGTAATAACAATATCGGGATAGTAGCTTTGGTAAACAGGATAGCTGTTTATGTCAGATCACGGTAACATGGAACTATGTGGCTGGCGGAAAGGACTTACAGTACTTCCAGTCTTATATGAATATAGTACTGATTCCCTGCTATCTTCTTTGTCTGGTTGTGTTTTGACAGTGATTGTGGAAGTCAAGGGGCCATACGAGTACCTCTCTCTTGCAGATTATCCCCTTATGATTGTAAGTTAATGCAGTTCTTTGAATTAAGATGGCATTAATTATTTTTTAAGTGTCAGCAAATGAGCTGCTTTGATAGTGTGCTGGTGAAATGAAGAGTTTTTCCACAACTATAAAAAATTCCTCCTACTCTCATCTGCATAAGACCAGGCTCAGGTGATTGGGGGGGGGGGGGGGGAGAGAGCTGGAGAAGTTAATCCAGGCAATAGTTACAGTTATTGGCCTAAGACCCACGTATCTGCAGAACCACCTCTCCCATTATGCTCCGCTGTGATAGCTCCACTCATCTGAGCAAAGCCTTATGAAGGTGTTATCCTGAAAATGGGTAAGATGAACAGCTACCCATACTTGAGCAATCTCTGTTGTGGTTCCCACCTGATGAAATGAGGGAATGATCTGCCTGATGAAGTAGGAAGGCATCCCATGCTTTTTTATTATTGCACAGAATTTGTAAAATAGAATTGTTCTGGAGGGCCTTTTTGCAAAAAGAATAGAGTCATAGTTAATGTCTGTGGAATTTTAGGTAGTTTTCACAGCTTTGTTCTCTGTGTACCAGACTGGTTCATTGATTTTATAATCCAGTTTTGTTTTATTGTTGTATTATTGATTTGTATATACGGTAGTATATGGTTTAGTGTGGTATTCTGATTTTTAATCCTGTTGTCCCCCCCCCCTCCCATTGTCAGTTGTATCCATGCAGCTCTGATTGCGTTGTTTGTAATTGTGTCACCCATCTTGAGTCTCAGGGAAAAGGCAGACTACTGATAAAGAAAATAAAAATAAACATCTATCTTTACTATAACAGTTAGTCCCTGTCCAAAGAGCCTGTAGTCTATTTCAGAAGCATTAGGAAAGTAGGCAGAGCTTTGAAAGTGCCATTGAATAATGAATAGGGCATAGTAGAGAGTTTGGTAGTGGAGCCTTGGTGGATCATGAAAGATTTTGCAGTTTGGAAAATGGCAGGAGTGAGATACTTTGAGGCATCTGTGCCAATATTATTAGTACAGCTATTAACAAATGATTCATATTTCTCAGATTCTGTTTCCTTGGTGTTCTCCTAGTACAATGACTCTTCTCCATTTTCTTTTCTTAATATGACTTGCTTTTTCTTTGACTTTTAGGCAGTGCTTTAAAGTTGCCTTTTCTAGCCTGCTTTGTCCTTTGCGACAGTACAATGGAATCTCTGTTCATTATCTTTGTATAAATGGAAAATAATATTGCTCTTCAGATCTAAATGATTACTTTGGTTTTGAAGTTTGAAAAATGGACAAAACTAAGAAAATCTAGGCAAGCAAAATCAGTTTAAGCAACTACAAAAGCACTGGTTTATGATTGTTCTATAACTTCCAACTTGCCTTTGTCTCTATCTAATAGTTTTTCATGGTGATGTGTATAGTATATGTGTTCTTCGGAGTTCTGTGGCTTGCCTGGTCAGCCTGCTACTGGCAAGACCTCCTGCGTATCCAGTTCTGGATTGGTGCAGTTATTTTACTGGGAATGTTGGAGAAAGCTGTTTTCTACGCAGAATTTCAGAATATCCGCTACAAAGGAGAATCTGGTATGTGGGAACATCATTGATAAATGGTTTTTTTTTTTTAAACGACCAGGGCATGAATTATTTGTAAAAAACATTTTTTATTTTTAGTGATTTTTTTTAAATGAAAGTATACTAGGAAGTAGTCGTTAATTTCCTCCATTGTGCAGGGGTTTAGACTAGATGACCCTGAAGCCCCCTTCCAACGCTATGATTCTATGAATCTGTGATTTTGTGTAAATGTTAGGACCTAGCTACACATTACATTTCCCCTGGAGACATCCCTGGGTCAGTTTGAGAGATGTGTTCTGAAGATCTGCACTTCCCAGACTTGCTTGACCCTGATTTGGATCAGGACTGTAGTGTGTGAGGAGAGGGAGCTTAGACTCCCCCCCCCTCCATCTTTGCTATCTGAAATAGCCCAGTGGGTGCTAGTTGCCATGTAATCAGTACTCAAGGAGCCCCCAGTGGAGCAGATAAGTGGCTCCCTGGGGCTAGTTTGGGTTGAGAAAATACTGATGGGGATGGCTAAACTCTCTCTTCCTGTGCACTGTAGTCCCAGTCTCAATCAAGCCAGAACACACCTCTTGTGCTGACCAAGGGGACATCCCTGGGCAAAATGTAACATGTAGTTAAGTTCTTAGACTTTCCATATATGTTACTATCTATAGTTAAGATCAATCAGTTCAACCTAATGAAAAAATTAAGTAGTTGGAACATTTTATCATGAGTACCTGAATACCTGTTTCCAAAGCAGTTTTGTATTTGATGAGCTGCCTTAATAAGATGAATAACATAGATGAGTGGAAAGATCCTAGCATTCTTTTTCCAAAGTGATTTCCAATGAGTTCAGTGGGACATTTCCTAATAATTGTGCTTAGGATTGTAGCCATTGAACAGATGGTATCACTTACCAAAGATGAACTAAAGGAGTTTTCTTATCTGGTGTGCATCAAGTTCCATATACCACTTTCTGTTTAACATAGTTTCTGTTTAATATTTCATTAATGAAGTATGTGGTATTGTAAAATAACTGAATTTGGGAGTCAAATCAGTGTATTTTGGTTGTTGCAAATTAATGGACAGATTCTAAACAATATGGATTATAACTAGGGTTGCCAAGCTCCAGGTGGGGCCTTGAGATCTCCTAGAATTGGTTCCCCTGGAGAAAATGGCTGCTTTGGAGGGTGGACTCCATGGCATTATACTCTACTGAGGTTCCACTCCTCCCCATACCCTCCCCTCCCTATGCTGCACCTCCACATTTCCAGGTATTTCTCAACCCAAGATTGGCATCCCTAGTGGTAATCCAGTTGGCCTGTGTTTTCTTTACTTACAGTCCAGGGGGCAGTGATACTGGCTGAGCTGCTTTCGGCACTGAAACGTTCACTTGCTCGAACTCTTGTTATCATAGTGAGCCTGGGATATGGGATAGTCAAGTGAGTGTCTCTGAAGTTTCATGCATTGTAATTCTGTGTTGTTAAAGAAGTTAAATGTTATTGTTTTCATATTGATCCATTTTGAAGCTGCATTCTTAATACTGTAATTAACAAGCCTCTTGAATTGACATACCTGTGTTTTTAAAAAAATCAAATAGGAGTCTTGTGGCACCTTAAAGACTAACAAGTATTCCAGTATACGTTTTGTGACCAAGAGCCTACTTTGTCAGATGCAATGAGTGGATCTTCACTATGCAATGCATAAAATGAATGAACAGTGATGATCCACTTATTGTATCTGAAGAAATGGGCTCTATTCACATAAGCTCCTGCTGGAATTAAAAAAAATGTTAGATTTGTAAAAGTGCTACAAGACTTTGTTTATTTTTGCTATGTTTTCCAATAGTTTATTCCCACTGAAGATACGTACTGGTATGCTTTCTTTTGTTCTTTTTGATAGTAAGCCAAGGAAAAAGGATAAAACCAAAACATGCTGTGAGTTGCCCTTGTGTATGTTGCATTTTTTTAGGATTAGAAAATACAAAGGATTTGTGTATCATAATATTTTTATAATAATGTACCTATTTAGACTGAAGTGTTCTGGCTGTTGGTACTGACTTTGTTTTGAAACTTCTTATGTTCTTTCCATTACAGACCTCGTCTTGGAGTGACCCTGCACAAAGTAGTTGTGGCTGGAGCCCTCTATTTATTATTTTCTGGCATGGAAGGTGTCCTCAGAGTCACAGGGGTTAGTAATCATTTACTGGAATTCCCAACTTGCAGTCATAGCTGCTGTTGATTCTACTATGCTGTCAATCCATCATCTAGAATACTTTGAATTTGACTGAACTGCCTTTTTGCTATTCATCTGACCACCACCTTTTCTGCTAAAAGAGGTTCAAAGTGTATCTGTTTGCTCTTTTGAAATGTATAGACTAATCATGCAAATCAGAGTTTAAGATTATATTTTGTGTCTGATCCTAGTTTGACTCTTGTTGTCTCCATTTTTCATAAGAACATAAGAAGACCCCTGCTGGATCAGACCAGTGGTCCATCTAGTCTAGTATCCTGTCTCACTCAGTGGCCAGCCAGTTCCTCTGGAGGGACAACAACAGTGCATAAAGGCTGAGGCCTACCCTTGATGTTGTCTCCTGGCACTGGGGTTCAGAGGTTTAGTGCCTCTTAATGTGGAGGTTCCCTTTAGTCATCATGGCTAGTAGCCACTGATAGACTTCTCCTCCATGAATCTATCTGATCCCCTTTTAAAGCTGTCTGTGGCTGTGACCATTACTACATCCTCTGGCAGCAAATTCTGCATTTTAATCACTCTCTGTGTAAAGTAGTATTTCCTTTTGCCTGTCCTGAATCTACTGCCCATCAGCCTCATTGGATGCCCTTGAGTTCTAGTATTTTGGGAGAGGGGAAAAAGTTGTCTTTGACAACTCTCTCCACCCCATGCATAATTTTATAAACCTCTATCATGTCCCCTCCTTAGTCATCTCTTTTCTAAACTGAAGAGTCCCAGACTCTTCAGCCTTTCCTCATAGGCAAGGTGCTCCAACCCCCTAATCATCTTGGTTGCCCTCCTCTGTACTTTTTCCAGCTCAGCTATGTCTTTTTGGAGATACAGGTCACACATACTAAATAATCCACTTTCAATCCACTTTCCAACTGCATTTTGCCAGTTCACACAGTAAAAATCCAGTTGGAAAGTGCACTGAAAGTGGATTATTTAGTGTGTGTGACTGCAGCCAACATCTAGAACTTTACACAGAATTCCTAATGAGGCCAAACCATAGATCTATACAGGAGCATTATAATATTCACCATTTTATGTTCAGTCCCTTTCCTAGTAATCCCTTATATAGAGTGTCTTTTTCACCACTGCAGCACTCTGGGTTGACACTTTCATTGAGCTATCCACTATGACCGCAAAATATTTTTCCCTCTCAGTCTCAGCAAGTTCAGACCCCATTAGCCTATACTTGCACACTGGGACAAAAAAATTCCAACTTCATCACCTTACACTTACCAACATTGAACTTCATTTGCCACATTGTCGCCCACTTACCCAGTTTGTGGCATTCCTCCTAGAGCTCTTCACAGCCATCCTTGGTTTTCACCATCCTGAATAGTTTTGTGTTATATGCAAAGTTGGCCACTACACTGCTCACCTCTAGTTCCAGATTATTTATCACTTAGTTAAATAGTACTGGGCCCCAATACTGATCCCTGTGGGATCTCCACTGCTTACATACCTCCACTGTGAGAACTGTCTGTTTATTCCTACTCTTTGTTTCTTGTCATTTAACCAATTTTAATCCATAAGAGAGCCCGTCCTCTTATGCCATGACTGCTAAGCTTACTCATGAGTGAGGTACCTTGTCAAAAGCCTTTTGAAAGGCCAAGTATATAATGTCTGCCAGTTCACCGTTGTCTACATGCTTGCTCACTTTCTCAAAGAACTCCTAAAGGATGGTGAGGCAGGACTTCGGTTTGCTGAAGCCATGCTGATTTTCCCTCAGCAGGCTTTGTTCCCCTGTGTGCCTAATAATTTCATCTTTGATTACAGTTTCTACTAATTTGCCTGGGACAGACAGACAGGTTGAGTGTCCTCTAATTTCCTGGTTCTCCTCTGGGCCCCCTTTTAAAATGGGTGTCACATTTGCTACTTTCCAGTCTTCTGGTACAGTGGATGAATTTAGTGATTGGTTACATATACAGTTTAGTAGATCAACCATCTCACATTTGATTTCACTAAAAACTTTTGAGTATATGCCATCAGGAGCTGTAGATTTATTGGTTTTTAATTTTCCCATAGTTCTAGAGCTTCATCTCTCATTGCCTCAATTTGGCTCAGTTCTTCAGACTCCCTTCCTGAAAATAGTGGCTGTGGCATGTGTATATGCTACACACTTTCCACAGTGAACACAAAAGGGAAAAAAATATTTAGCATCTCTTTCATCTCCCTATCTTCCTTTAGCAGTCCCTTTAATCTTTGGTCATCCAATAGCCCAACTGCTTCTTTGGCTGGTTTCTTGCTCTGGATAGATTTAAAGAATGTTTCGGTGTTTTTAGCAACCTGCTCCTCAAATTCTCTTTTTGCATGCCTGATGATTGAACTATATTTCTTTTGCCAAAGCCCGTGGGCCCTTCTGTTTAATTCATTGGGGCAGACCTCCCACTTTTAAAAAGAAGCCTCTTTATTTTTTGTAGCTTCCTTGACTTGCATTGTAACCATGCAGGCATTCTTTTAGACTTGGCAGTGTCTTTCGTAACCTGTGGAATGTCTTCTATCTGGGCTTCAATTAGTATGGTTTTAAATAGCTTCCAAGAATTCTCTAGGGATTTGACTTTCTTTTGTTTCCCTTTCAGTTTCCTTTTAACTATTTTCCTCATTTTTGTAAAGTCCCCTCTTTTGAAATCAAATGTTACAGTTTTTGACTTTAGGGGTAACTTTCCCATTGACCTGAATGCTGAACTTCATATCATTGTGGTCACAGTTTCCAACTGGTACAATAACATCTCTCACCAGATCTTTAACCTACTCAAAACCAAATCCAAGATCACTACCCTTCTGGTTGGCTCTGTGACCATCTGTTCCAGTGCACAGACATTTATGATGTCTAAGGGTAGTTGAAGTCTTCCGGTATTATTGCATGTGCTTTACTCACCTCCCTTATTTTCTTCTCCATCTCAAGTTCAGCCTTGAAGGTTTGATCAGGTGGGTGATAGTACACCCCTTTTTAAGTGACCCTCAGGGCTCAGGATTTCTACCATATCAATTCTGTTAGGAAGTTAAGTTTTCTAACTTACTTGATTCTATGCCCTCTTTGATGTACAACACCTCCAACCATCCTGTCCCTCCCTGTCCTGTCTATAGAGCCTATACCCAGGAGTGACTGTATCATAGATTTCCCCCATTCCACCATGTTTCTGAGATACCTACTATATCTAAATAGTCATTGAGCACCAAACACTCCAGCTCCACCATCTTGGCTCAGAGACATCTAACATTGGCATATAGACACCTGTAAAGTGCTTCGGTCTCCAGCATTCCTTGCCTCCCTTGGCCCCTTTTGTCTCCACACATGGTCCTCCATCATCCTACCCTCACTTCCAAGTTATGTTATGCTCCTGTCAATGTTACCCTGAGTTTTTACACAATCATCCCTTCGGATTGATTTGTCCCAAACTGTAGGCTTCCCGGATCCTGTCAGCTTTCCTCCTGGGATTTGTTTAAAAGCTGCTGTGCTACCTTTTTGATATTAATTGCCAGCAGCATGGTTCCCTTTCGGTTCAAGCGAAGCCCATCTCTTTTGCACAGGTTCAGCTTGTCCCAGAAAGTTCCTCAGTGCCTAACAAATCTAAACCCTTCCTCCTGGCACCACTTTCTCATCCACACATTGAGACCCCTGATCTGTGCCTGTCTAGCTGGTCCTGCACATGGAATTGGCAGCACTTCTGAGAATGCTGCCTTTGAGGCTCTGGCCTTTAACTTTCTGCCCAGTAACCTAATTTTTTTCCTCCAGGATCACATGACTCCATTTCCCAATGTCATTGGTGCCAACATGCCCTATGACTGCTGACTCCCCCACAGCGCTATCTATCAACCTATCTAGACAGTGCGTAGTGTCCACACAGTGTTTGCACCAGGCAGGCAAGTCACCATGTAGTCAAAACGCCTGTCACAGACCCCACTTTTCTATATTCCTAATAATCAAATCACCCACTACCAAAAGCCTGCCTTCCCTGAACCACAGAGAGGAGATTGGTCCATCACCCAAGGAAGGGTTTCCTTCTAAAGGATCACATCCCTCAGACTGATGTCCTCTGACCTTGAGACTCTCAGTCTCCGCAACAGCAGAAGAGTTGTCAGCACAGGACTGTTCCGGTAAGTCCCTGAAGTTCTTGTCCCTAGACCACTGTCCCTGCCTCAGCTTCACCAGGTTAGCAACCCTAGCCTTAAGGGAATGAACCCTAGCCTTAAGGGAATGCTCTCTGAGAGTCAAGAACTCCATGCACTGATCACACACCCATGATTTCTGCCCAGTGAGTGGCAACTCCTGAAAAACACTGGATAGCCCCCACTCCCCTGCTGGCTTTCTACCTTGGTGTGCATGTGTTCACATGCACGCAGACACAAACACACACATCAAAAGATGAAGTATGTGTTCAGGTGGTCCTTTTTCTGTTGGTAAAGATTTTGTTACAATTCTTGTTGCCTCTTGAACAGCTGTGCAGCTGTACTTCTGCCATGTGCAAAATCACAGCTGCACCTCTAAAAAGGGACCAGCAACCGGATGCAAAGGTTTGTAGGCAATGTAAACTGTGTTGTGTGGAATGGAAGTGATCTAACTTACAGTACAGAAGTACCTTCAGTCTGCAGTACATCAAGAGAAATTTAGAGGATATTTCTTTCACAGTGGATTTTAGCAAATGCCTGTAATATTACTAAAACCAAAAACTACCATAGATTTTCATGTGGTAAAATGTCTGCTTTCGGTTTTAAACAGTTATATCCTGTTGGAAATCATTTTTGGTAACCTGAAAGTATAGCATACTATAAAAATATCCTACTACTAGGACTGTAAACTTTATATGTATGTTACAATTTTATAAACCTGTATGGGCCAGTTTATATTTGCCTGTGTTCTCATGGCTATGGTTATCCCTTGGAGAGTGCTTGCATGATACTTGTTCTTCCCATCTTTGATATCAGAAGCTATAGGGACTATTGCTCCTCACAGATCCTGATCCTTGTTGAATAATGGCTGTTTTCATTACACCTTGTATTTTAGTAAATATAATTCTCACTTTGGTACTTTTTCAGTTTTTTCATGGCTTTATGGCTGTGGTAGCTAACTTCGGGCTGTCTGTCATTGACTCCTGTATTATTTATTGGATATCCTTTCTGAAGTTTCACAGTGTGATTTTAATGTATGAACAACAAAAAAAGTTCTAATGTGGCTGAGAAATTTCTCTTACAGATGCAAAGAGAGGAAAAGGCCAGTTAAATTGCCTTGGATTCATTCCCGCGCCCCCCAGCATGATCCCTACCCATTTGTATTAATTTGCTTTTAGGGCCTAGTACCAGCTTATTGGAGCCGCGGTGGCTCAGAGGTTAAGATGCTGAGCTGCAGACCGTGAGGTCTGTAGTTCGGCAGTTCGAGACCCTAGTGCCGCGTGAGGGAGTGACCTCCCGTCTCTGGCCCCAGTTCCTGCCAACCTAGCAGTTTGAAAGCAAGAAATTGCAAGTAGATAAATAGGTACCGCTTCGGTGGGAAGGTAACAGCATTCTGTGCACCTTGGCGTTTAGTCATACCAGCCACATGACCATGGAAATGTCTTCGGATAGCGCTGGCTCTTCGGCTTGGAAACAGAGATGAGTACTGCCCCCTAGAGTCGGATTCAACTTGCTTTCAAGCAAGGAAAACCTTTACATTACCATTCTATGCTTGAATTAGAATAAATGGCAACACTCACCACTACGAGGGCTAATAATCTGCAGGCCCAGACAGAGAAATGTAAATTTCAGTGAGTTGAAGATCTGAACTATTCATTGCTGAAGCTCCATTGTTTTCAATTTAAGAATTCTTTACTTTTCCTGGATTGTGTTCTTTGTGACTGTTGTATTTTAGTTGGATGCAGATTTCTACAATTCAGGCTTTCTTTGTTTAAGGGTGTATTGAGACTGAATAATAACCAGCATGTGTGTTTTCCTTGCCTGCACTATTTCAGAATAATCTGAGGAGTAGGGGTATCTGCAGTAGAATCTGGGCTCTAATATGGCAACAGACATGAGCCTGGTAATTTGTATCAAGAGGCCATTGTATGAAAACATCATAACTTGCTCTAGTAGGATGTTTTGTCTCCATACGTGTACTCTGGTTGTAGGCCAAAAGAAAAAGTAACTATAGAAGACAAAGTAACAAACCGTGCAAAAATACTAAATCAATAAGAATATCTTAAGTAATATATATTATGTTAAGAACAATGTGAACCTATATAGCAACAAAATTACTATTGATAACCTTAGTACAAAGATACTTGTACTAAGGTTATCAGTAGTAATTTTGTTGCTATATAGATTCATTGTTATTAACATAATATAAGATATTCTTATTGATTTAGTATTTTTTGCATGATGTGTTACTTTGTCTTCTATAGTTATCATTCCACCGTCGTCCTAAAAGAAAAAGTAGCCAACTTCTGGAATGTTTCCATGCAAAAAAAAGGTGTTGATTCTGCCCCCTTCCAGTGCACAGGCTTACCTCCCCAACCCTAGGTGCTTTTCTCCCCTCCGACCTAACTTCTAGTACTGCAGCTTGGCTGCACAGAAAGGTGCCTGCATGTACAGGCTGTGGGAGGGGGGAGTAGCAGGTATAAGGAAGGTTTATTCCCATAACTCAAAAAGCCCTTTTTTCTAAACATCAGAGCTTCTCCCCTTGGTCTATACACAGTTAAGGCAGACCTTTAAATGAAGGGCAGATGTTTAAATGGATGCTGCTGCTTGATCAAGTGTAGTTTGGCCTTCGTGTTTCCATGAATGAGAATAAATAGTTCAGTAGCGTTCTTACCAGGTAGAGTGGGTGAACAGCACTCTTGAGCACTAATAGAGCCAAGCCTGGTGCTTTGTTTGGCAGAAGATATCCTAAAATGGGAAGAGTATAGAGAAGATTAGCAGAGTAGAACCCAAAGCTCCAAGCCAAGGTATTTTAATTCTGAAATCCAGAGTTAAATCACTTAGAATTTTACTTGCTCCAAAAAACATGGACATTAGAAGTTAAGGCTACAACCTTAACTTCCATGCTGTACAGTGAGTACAGACAATGCATGCCTTAAAGCTGAGGCGCCATACAGCTACAGTTTATTGTTAGCTATATTTGCTCTTTTAGATTTTATTTCAAAAGTGGCATTATATTCTTATATAATTGGCATTATATTCTTATATACTCATTCTTATTAAACATTTGTATATTATGGAACCAATTTTAGTGTTGCAGCCTCTACCTGCAGAATATGAAAATAAAGACTAGAAGAGCAAGGGAAGTAGTCCCATGATGCCTAAACAGTAAGCAGTCATACATTGGAAGGCAGTGCTGCTCACAGGGTGCAGATGATAAAGTGGCAGCCTTAATTTTACTGTTTATTTCCATGTTGCTTGGAGCATGAGAGGAAATGTATGTACCTTCAACTGCAGGTTTACAATTTTTTAGCATGTGCTTGATTCTTTTTAAAAAGGAAAATAACATAATTATAGTTATGGGGCAGCATTTTCTCACCCCCCCCCTTTGTTTTCTGCAGAAGGTAAACAACATAATATCACTCCTTGACAAAATTAATACAATATCTATTGTTTAAAAGTCCTTTAAAACAAGCCCATTGTATATTGGAAACCCAATTTTTTTTTTTAAAAAAAAGATTGATTGCATCGTGTGCTTAGTTGCACAATACAAAGATAACAGCAAGAAAATTTTTTAAAAATATATCTGTTTAAAGAAAAACTCTTCCTTTACTCCCTCTACCTCTCTTAGTCTCTCTCTCTCTCTCGGGATTGCACTTCTAAATAACTGGTTCTGCTATTGTGCCTCAGGCTGCCTCGTCTTTATTCAGTTGGGCAAGTAGCTGCCATTTTTCTTTTGGGAAGGTATTTTGTAGAGAAGTCTTATTATTGAACATGCATGTGCTCATAACTTGCCCATACTTCAGTGAGTAAATTATGAAGTTTCAAAGTTCCAATGCACAGTAGATTTTCATTAAGCAAGTAAGTGCAAGACCCTTGGCATGTTAATGAATTTTGACTGATGAGACAAATAAATCATCTTGGTTTTATGATGAACAGTATTTTCAGGCATTATAATGGCAGATTATGCAGCTACTTCTGTGGCTATTTGATGGCTGAGAATGAATGTGAGTTACCAGAACTGCAGGGTTGCCAGGGCCCTCAGAGGAGCCAGCGGGGGATGGGGGGGGTTCACTTACTGGGAGTAGGAGGGAATGCCAGAGATTTATGCAATGTGCCTATATGACTCGGAAGTGATGTAGACAAGTCGGGAGGGGGTGCTCTGGTTTTGGGGCTAAACTCTATGGTAGAATTTACTTAGCTATATTTGCTCTTTTAGATTTTATTTCAAAAGTGGCATTATATTCTTATATACTCATTCTTATTAAACATAGAGTTTTGCCCAAAAACCAGAGTGCTGCTCCCCAACATGCCTAGGCATATCAGATTAATTTCTGGCATTCTTCCTTTGGGGGGTCGTGATCCCCCCCCACTGGTCAGCTGCCTGGCAGCAGAAAGGTGGGGGCTGAAAGCAGGAGACCCCTGCCCTCACCAGGGGGACTGCCATCCCTACAGAACTGGTAGCTTTGAGCTTTTCTGCAGATATACTCTTGATTGGCTTGATTCTAACCTCTTGCTTCATTGAAGAAAGAAAAGGCATATTACACCTTTGGGGGCTGTGTTCATTATTTCTGATTGTAAGAGAATAACTGGCAACTGGGTGCTTATGTCTTGTATCTCGCTTCCAATCTCCCTTGATCTCAATGCTTTTTTTCTCTTTGTCTCTCTAGGCACAGAGTGATCTTGCCTCCTTGGCTTTTATTCCGCTGGCTTTCCTAGATACTGCCCTGTGCTGGTGGATATCCTTCACTGGCTTTTTTGGTAGAGTGCTAATTTCTTTGGAGTTGGGTTTTTATAGTGGGTCACATTCTACTGTACTTGTTTTACCAGATTTATAGATTTTACTTTACAATCACAATGATTTAAGACTGCAATCCTAAGTACACCTGTGAGGTTGGAAGCCCCATTGAATTCAGTAGGATTTACTTCTGAATAAAAAAATGTTTGGTGTCACCATGCATGCCACAGTTAACCTGACTGTACTTTCACAACATTTGTGTGGCAAATTTGGTGAAGTTACTCCTGGATGTAACCTCTGGAGATTACCTTGCTCCTCAAGTTCAATGATGTCATTGGGTTCTAATTGGTAATGTGGTCTTACTGTACCTTTCTGCTTCAGGAAGAGTTTTGTAGTGGTAGAATGAATAGTTCTCACACTTTTGATAATCAGCCTTCTGAAGGAAACCCAAGAAATAACATATTTTTCTTGTGGCATAACTCTGTTTTTGGCCCCCCCGTGGAAGGTTCTGGAAATTGATTCCATGATGTGCTCTATGTTGAAATTATAAAGTTTGGGAACAGATCACCACATGGATACCCTGATTGTATGGAGTGGCTTCACACCACTGCTGCATATTTCCTGGATATAGAGTGGTCATGCACTTTCAAATATAACTGCTTTTGGAGGAGCATCACACAGAAGTATTTTTAGCATCATCCAAATTAGTGCTGTAATATTTGACCCAGTCCTGGGAGAATGTGTTTATGGAAGCACAATATAAAAATACTGGGTGATCTTCCCACTGATATTTAATAGTCCTGTGTTGGTAAGCTACTGTAACATATTCCTGTGGAATGCCACTGTCTGGGTGTATGCCCATGTACTCAGTTAAGCTTGTTGTTTTTTCTTGACTTACCATACATATTCATCAGTTTGACTCAGACAATGAAACTGCTAAAACTTCGGAGAAATGTTGTGAAGCTCTCTCTCTACCAGCATTTCACCAACACTCTCATCTTGGCAATAGCAGGTGAGCTTTAGACATCACCATGTGGTGGCCTTTGAAGAATTGGGGTGTTTGTGTGGGATAAATGGATGAGAAAATTGCTCGCTGACCTAGATAATCTTCTGCAGGATGCTATAAACTCTTAGAGGCTTAAACACGTCAGTTCCTACCTTTTCTCTGTGTTTACTTTTTTTAACTGACCCGCAACATTCTAAGTCTTTTGGAGGGCACTTTTCAGGCATAATAGTGGTAGAATGTAAGAACTAATGGACCTTAGCTATACACCCGCTTCAGCATTTGGGTCCTGATTAGGTTGGGGTTTTTTGGTGGGTGAGGTATGTCTTTTATTTAAAAACTAGTATTTTTCTGCATACCCAGGGAGTCTTTGAGCATGAAGAAACCCCACCCTTGTCTATGGGTGCCCCTACTGTCCTACTAATCAAGTGAATGATCCCCCCCATGAATATTTCAGTGTTTTATCTGACACTCTGAGCCAGATAGTCTTTTGGTATATCTGTCATTTCAGTTTTTATTCTGCTGGTACATGACTTTTTAGCATCATCTTTTGCTGTCAGTTCAAAGGCCGTATACTTAATTGAAAATGTTAAAAAAGCCAGAGTGGTTACAGTAAAGCAAACAATGAAAAGTTGAAGCTTCCTGATTTGGTGATTCTTGCCATGTTGTCCTGGACAAACTTCTCCTATTGTTTAAGTAAATAAAACTCTAATAAGAGTCAAGTTTATGTGCCACTGAATGCATCTGGTAAACTGACTGAGAGACTGTGAGAACCCATTGGGTTCTGTAAAAGGAGTTATAATTTTCAATATTTTCTGTTTGTTTTAGAAGAATAAGAAACAAAGTGTTCCATAGTTTGTATGTTATGTTAGTGTACGGTTAGAGAAGTGTAAACTCATGACTGCAAACCCAGTTGTGTGCCTTCTGGGCTATGAGTCCCATGGTTATAGATTAGTTAAAATATCCTTTTTGAAGGGGGATAGGTATAGGTCACATGATACCCCAATCTTGCAGAAGCTAAGCAAGTTTTGAGTCTGATTAGTATCAAGATTGGAGAGTTTATGGAAATCCTACTTGAGCTGGTTTGAGCTCCATGATTGAAAAGGTGGGTTCTAAACTATGGTAATTAAAATAAAAAGTATCAGAAGTCCTACAGCTCAGTTTGACCAGCTAAGCTTTTATCAATTTTTTTTAAACCATCAGCATCTGTTGTTTTTATCATCTGGACCACTGTGAAATTCAGGCTAGTAAATTGTCAGTCGGTAAGTTGGATTTATTTTTTAAAAAATATATTAAGAGTGTCCACAAAATGGGTTGGATCCGGACTCAATTGGCAGTTTCCACCTATAACCCCTTCTTGCTGCAGGCTGCCTCTGAATTCATTCCTCAGGGTTCCTGTATCCCCCAGAAGCAGCATTTTGTAGAAATCAGTGGGCTGGGGGGGGGGGGGGGAGGAAACAATTTCTTCCAATGTAGTATTTTGTTTTTGCTTCATAAGTGGGAGGTAAGAATTACAGATGAATTTACTGCAATTTCTACCTTGATACTTCTGGAAAATGGTTGTTTTTACCTATAGAAGATGGGTTCTTTCTCTCTTTGCATATTTCACATTTCTTTTAAATAGGATTGGCAGGAGCTGTGGGTGGATGATGCCATCTGGCGACTTTTGTTTTCAATGATTCTTTTTGTCATCATGGTTCTTTGGAGGCCATCAGCCAACAACCAAAGGTATAGAATTCTGTATGTATATTTTAAAGTTAATTAGTGAAAACAGTTGCAACAGTCATTTTGCACTTCCTGGTAATTTTTGGTATCCAGTAAAAAAAAATTCCTGTTTAGAGCCTGTGACCACCTAGATTCCTTTTAAGCTGCGCCAAGCTGTGCTGGCGCACCAATTTCCCCAGGCCAGCGCAGCAATTGTTACCACAGCGCAGGAGCGAGAGGTTCCCTTCCCAATGGCCATGCAGCACAGATCCATTTGCTCAGGCAGCACAGAAACACAGCAGTATGCTTTGTGTTTCCTAATCTGGGCTGGCCCTGCCTCCCCTCAGCTGCAGTTTGCTTGCCCTGTGAAAAGGGCACTCCTACCCTCCCCGGCAGCCCTCTGCCTCGTGCTCCTGGAGATACCCTGGCCCAGAAGGAGGACTGCTCTGTTGCCCAGCTTCTGCCCTTCCTGAGGTGAGCTGCCTGGTTGTTTGTTTTGTCTTGGGGCGGGGAGTTGGGCTCAGCAGTGTGCTAGAGGCGATCTGGTGGCTTCTGGTGCTTTGCAAAGTGACTCTCTGTGTACTTAAGCCTGCAAAATTAGTTGGAAAAGGTGTGTGTGGGGAAGCCAGGCTCAGCAGCCTGCTAGAGGCAATCTGGTGGCTTCTGGTGCTTTGCGAAGTGACTCTCTGTGCCCTTAAGCCAGCAAAGTTAATTGGAAAAGTGTGGGGGGCAGCTGGGCTCAGCAGCATGCTAGAGGTGATCTGGTGGCTTCTGGTGCTTTCCAAAGTGACTCCCTGTGCACTTAAGCCTGCAAAGTTAGTTGAAAAAGTGTGTGGGGAGGGGAGCCAAGCTCAGCAGCCTGCTAGAGGCAATCTGGTGGCTTCTGGTGCTTTGCGAAGTGACTCTCTGTGCCCTTAAGCCTGTAAAGTTAGTCGGAAAAGGTGGTGGTGGGGAGCCGGGCTCAGCAGCATACTAGAGGCGATCTGGTGGCTTCTGGTGGTTTGCAAAGTGACTCTCTGTGCACTTAAGCCAGCAAAGTTAATTGGAAAAGTGTGGGGGGAAGCTGGGCTCAGCAGCATGCTAGAGGTGATCTGATGGCTTCTGGTGCTTTGCAAAGTGACTCTCTGTGCACCTAAGCCGGCAAAGTTAGTTGGAAAAGGGGTGGGGAGCCGGGCTCAGCAGCATGCTAGAGGTGATCTGGTGGCTTCTGGTGCTTTCCAAAGTGACTCCCTGTGCACTTAAGCCTGCAAAGTTAGTTGAAAAAGTGTGTGGGGAGGGGAGCCAAGCTCAGCAGCCTGCTAGAGGCAATCTGGTGGCTTCTGGTGCTTTGCGAAGTGACTCTCTGTGCCCTTAAGCCTGTAAAGTTAGTCGGAAAAGGTGGTGGTGGGGAGCCGGGCTCAGCAGCATACTAGAGGCGATCTGGTGGCTTCTGGTGGTTTGCAAAGTGACTCTCTGTGCACTTAAGCCTGAAAAGTTAGTTGGAAAAGTGGGGGGGGGGGAAGCTGGGCTCAGCAGAGTGCTAGAGGCGATTTGGTGGCTTCTGGTGCTTTGCGAAGTGACTCTCTGTGCACTTAAGCCTGCAAAGTTAGTTGGAAGAGGTGGGGGAGGGAGCCGGGCTCAGTAGCCTACTAGAGGTGATCTGGTGGCTTCTGGTGCTTTGCAAAGTGACTCTCTGTGCCCTTAAGCCTGCAAAGTTAGTTGGAAAAGGTGTGGGGGGGAGCCAGGCTCAGCAGCCTGCTAGAGGCGATCTGGTGGCTTCTGGTGTTTTGCAAAGTGACTCTCTGTGCCCTTAAGCCTGGGAGGTTAAGTAATACAAATATGTTTCATATAAATACAAATACGTTTACTATAAATATATGGCTTGTAATACAAATGATAATAGTTTATATGTTTGTATGTTTGTACACTTTAATAATTTTTTTTAATGTCGGCCCGCTCACAGTTTTAACGCTAGGACCCCTTTTGGCTCACAGGGTAAAATTTCTGCTCACGAGACTGCATACCTTAGAGGGAACATTGGTGACCACCATTACACATAATAAATGTTGAAAGAAGGCCTAAAGGAAACTAATTTGTATTTAAATGTTTGAATTGGCAGAGCAGCCATTTGTTACCCTTCATATTTTACTTTGTCTTTTTAAAAGATTTGCTTTTTCACCATTGGCTGAGGAAGATGAAGATGATGAACAGAAGGAGCCAATGCTGAAAGAAAGCTTTGGTAAGAAGAAAATCCTTATACCAGAAGTTCCCCACCTTTTTAAGTGTGCGAGCACAAAAAGTGTGCCGCCACAAAATGGCTGCCACAGCTTACCTTCAGTCAAACAGTGAAGACTCTTGTGCTTTGATGGCAGCTGCTGCCGAAGGAAGATTTCAAAAAATCCACATAGTCAATCAGAAGCCAATCAGAAAGCCCACCCACTTTCTAAAAATACTTGGTGAGAGCCAAGAAAGGTGTCAGCAGCGCCATGGGTTATCACGTTGGGGAAAGTTTTATTTTCAGTGCTACTCCACCATCCTGTGTATGGCAGAGGTATTAGAAAACAAGTTGAAAACAAAATTGGATCCTAAGGATCTATTCTGCCAACTGTGGCACTTTCTCTGACTCAGCAGGGTCCTCCCTTCATCATGTGAAGTTGTGGGAAGTGTCAATTTTAATCATCTTCCAAACTTAATTTTCTGACGTATTGCAAAGGGATTTGTCCTCCATTTATTAAGAAGACATTTTGTGTAAAGATGGAGCAGGTCAAAATATTACTCCTTCATATTTGTCATTTAATTTCACACACAATTTTTATTTATACTTTTGTTCCTCTGACTCCATGTGCCTGTGGTAGTCAGGCAGGCTGTGGGCTTCATTGTGCACTGAGTGGATGAAGAAGAGCTATAGCTCCTCCACGTTTTGCCTGGTAGGGCCTCCATTTAGCCATTTAAGTTGCCAGATTCATGTTTGCTCCTCTAATCAAGCAAAAGCAGCTAGGAAGACTGGGAAACCTCCTGGTGTCTACAGTAGAATATCTGGCTCAGCACAATGCATGTGCCAGGTGCGGACAACGTCCAGGCAGACGATCTGAGCCAGAGGGCATCGAAGCACCACGAATGGTCACTGAGGTGGGACTGCCTAGAAGAGGTGTTCAGCCACTTTGGATGGCGGATGCTGGACGTCTGCAATGTGATAGGCTGGGACAAATAGAATGGAGACACCACTTTCGGGAGAAACGCAGGGTCCGGCCTCATAACGACCCGGTCTGCGTAGAAGACTAAGTACGGGGAGTCACACCTCAAGGCACAAATCTCACTCTCCGTGCCAAGGTGAGTGCCACTAACAGCGCTGTCTTCCCTGAGACCAATCACATATCGGCCTTGCCAACGGCTCAAAGGGTCGTCCCATGAGCTTTGTGAGAACTAAGGACAGACTCCAAGGTGGGACATACTGCCTTAGCGGGGGATACAAGTGCAACAACCCCCTTAGGAAAGCCTTGGCCAATAGTTGGGAAAAAACTGACTTCCCTTCGATAGGGTCATGGGACGTGGAAATGGTCGCTGGGTGTACCCTTATGGACCAGTAACTCAGCCTGTCCCTAAACAACTTCGACAAGTACAATAGTATTACAGTTAATGGAGCTGTTCTTGGATCTACGGCTCGCTCCCTTACATAAGTGGCAAATCACGCCCATTTATAGCGATAGGATTTCCTCGCATTCAGGAGAATGAACGACACCGTCGCTGATGCGGTCACGGCCAGATATTCCACGCTGTTAGCTTGAAAAACGCCAGGTCGTGGTGAGCAATCCGAACGCTCTCATGTGAGAGCATGTCCTGACTGAATAGTATGGGTCTGTATTGCTGTCTCGACAGTTCCAGGAGAATCGGAAACCACGGTTGCCTCAGCCACCACGGCGCAATGAGAATAGCAGAAGTGCGGTCTTGCGCTATCTTCTGCAACACTTGGGAGATAAGTGGTATTGGTGGGAACATGTAAAAAAGACGACCTCGCCATTTGCGCAGAAACGCGTTCCCCAACGACTCGCCGGACAGGCGGCCCGTGGTGTAAAAGAGAGGAAACTTCGCATTGTCTATTGATGCGAAAGCATCCAGCATCGGCCATCCAAAGTGGCTGAACACCTCTTTTAGGCAGTCCCACTTCAGTGACCATTTGTGGTGCTTCGATGCCCTCTGGCTCAGATCATCTGCCTGGACGTTGTCCGCACCTGGCACATGCATTGTGCTGAGCCAGATATTCTGCTGTAGACACCAGGAGGTTTCCCAGTCTTCCTAGCTGCTTTTGCTTGATTAGAGGAGCAAACATGAATCTGGCGACTTAAATGGCTAAAGGGAGGCCCTACCAGGCAAAACGTGGAGGAGCTATAGCTCTTCTTCATCCACTCAGTGCACAATGAAGCCCACAGCCTGCCTGACTACCACAGGCACATGGAGTCAGAGGAACAAAAGTATAAACCTCTGCCAGGATCTCTTGAGGCGGCACAGGGCGCACAAGCGATGTGTGCTTTGGTTGTGCCAGCATAGGTGGTTGAGCGCTCGTCTGCGAACACGATCCCTTGCGCCTCACCATTGGTGAGTTTGAGGACAAACCAGCCAACACAATTGGAGTGACCATTAACTGTGCCTGGTAGCGTTCATCAGTGGCCCTGCGAGCAACTTAGGCACCTTTGATTTTGAGGGCTTTTTGCCAGAGCAAGACAGTTGTTCAAGCGATTTGTCCGCTTTCTCCTTTTGCTGCCCAGTAACGGCCACAGCAAGGTGCGCCGAATCTCCTCTCTCTAACAGCGGGGGAGGCGGCGATTGCCCCTTTCCTGCTGTCTCAGCCATTGTTGGGGCGAGGGACCACTCTAATAAAAACACTTTCAGGTGAGCCGCCCTATTCTTCCTCGTCTGGCTAGTGAACCGCAGGCAGTGGTGACAGGAGCCGGGTCTGTGTTCCTCCCCCAAGCAGCGCAAGCAACAGCTGTGGTCGTCTGTTAGGGGGATATTCGCTGCCCAGCGCAAACACCTCTTAAAATAAGGTGTGGGTCCCATAGACCGACCCATGCCCAGGTTAATGGCCGATATACGGACTGACAGTATTTACTTCGTAGATTATGTTACAGTTGAGGAGGCTTCCTCGGAGCAACGGGGAAAAACGTCTTCTCAGGAGGCGGTTAAAAACTAACTGAGTGGGGGCGGAGTCCACCGTGGCTGTTGAGCATGCTCAGATGGAGCGTGCTGCATGAGACTGTGGAGGACTCCGCACTTGGAAAGCTGTCACTAAAGCTTTTTAGGCTTCCCAATGGAGGTTTGACGTAGGCATAAAACCCCATGGTGTGTGGCCTGCACAGAGACCACGAAGAAGATGCCACCATTGTTGCAGGTCAAAGCAGGAGCAGCATGGAGAACCAGCCCTATGCACAACTCTGTTGCTCATCAGCAGTGGTCTGTCTGATAACATTGCCTCTCTTTCCTCTCCAGGAAAATTGCCTCCCCGTCCCTGAATCGGTTCACTAACTTCTGTCTTTTCTGCCCTTTTCAGTGCGTGATGGTGGGATAAAATATTGGGAATTGGCTACTTGATACTCCATTTAAATAGTCATTTGATCATTCTCTTTCTGGTGATATGGCTGAATGTGCTTTTTCTCCTCCTTGATGTCCTTTGCAGAAGGAATGAAAATGAGGAGTTCAAAACAAGAACTGAATGGAAATCCTAAAGTCCACAAAGCAGTAAGTTTGATTTTATCTGTACCATGTGGTGCAAAGAAAGCAAAGCTTGCATTGGCAGAGATGAAGGAGTTTTTAATGTGGGTGAAAACTGTATATGCAGGGTATTTTTGTTTTTCAATAAATCAGAATTTGTGACAATAAAATCTTGTGGACAGCAGTTGTACATATTTTCAAGTAGAGAAATTGTTCAGTAACCTCAGTATCTTTTTTTTAAAGCAGGAAGATGACCTGAAATGGGTAGAAGAGAATGTTCCTTCTTCCGTAACTGATGTGTAAGTACATGTAGTTGAAAAATAACAGATGTACTGGAAGCAAAAGCATTAGAAATAGATACGACAAGTGGAGACCCACAAGAAATTTGTGGGGAAGTTGCATCCCATCCCCCCCACCTTTGACCCCTTTTCTCTCCCTCCTCTCAAATGATCTTCCACCTTTTCTTTCATCCTCTCCCCTCCCCTGATAATCTTATGCCTTCTCTTTCTCCCGCCTTCCTTTTTTGTCTCAATCTCTCCCCCTCTATTTCTCCCCCCCCTTCCTGAAAATCTTATCCACCTTGCTTTCTCTCCCCCATCTCTGCCAATCTCCCCCCCATATTTCTCCCTTTCCTCCGTACCTTGACCTCTTCATTTGCAACTGAAGTCTGACTGATTAGAAACCAGGTGGGGGGGAGTTTTAAAAGGACAATGAGCCGGTGACTACAAAGGTGTGTGAGTGGGCGAGGAGGCTCCTTCTCACTCCTGTCTCTGCAGCTGCCAGCTCAGCTGTCAGTCAGATTGTGGGGAGAAGCAACATGGAAGCTGGGGAGTGGATGATCCTCCTCATCCCCTCTTGCCTCCAGTGCTGCTTCTCCCTGAAGTGTGACTAAGTAAAAAATGGGAGAAAGTTTTAAAAGGGCAGCTGAGTTGGCAGCTACAGAGACAGGGATGAGAAGGAGCCTCCTCACTCTCTTGGCACGCCTCTGTAGATGCTGCCTGCCCACTTCTTAACCAAGTTTGGAGAAAAATCTCCTTTTTCTCAGGATGGGCCCAGTCTGTGGATATAGGTATCTGCAGATTTGCCTACACTTGAGAAATACACATATAGATTTCTAGAATATGGGGAATGTTGTATTCTAATACTGGGAGGTGCAGACTTCCTTCTGGATTCTGATTGTGTGGTATTACCAGTCCAAACTGAATTATGAATCTGGTTTATAAACTGCTGCAATGATGATGGATAACTCGGTACTCTAGCCAATGTTGTTTTTGCTTATATGTGGTAAGGCATCAGTCAAGAGGGGATAAGGAATGATAGCCAATTCTGTTTTTTCTTTTTTGGTGCATTAAGCAAATATACAGGTTCTCTAACTTTGTTGTGTACTGTGGTCAGAAATGACATTTGCTAAAACATTACTTCTGTTTATACAATATTTCATATGAATAATAATCGTCAGAATTAGTTCTTGCAGTCAATATTACATGTCTTTTTTTCCTTCCCAATGCAGTGCACTCCCAGTGCTTCTGGATTCAGATGAGGTCAGTAAACAAGCCTTTAGCAACAATTCAAGTCCTGTGAGATGACAGAGAATAATTTCATTCTCTTATAAATGAAATGCTCTCAGGGTTTTAGTCAGTGCATTGGGTTACTAATAAACTCATAAATATATTCCAAGGAATTTAATGACACATGATGCATGTATAGTATTTAAATGTTACATTCTGTCTTTAAATTGTCACAGGATTTCTTTTTGTTTTCGTTGCAACAGACTAACATGGCTACTTCTCTGGAATCCTATGAGCACAGTATAAGAAAACAGAGTTGCACATGTTTAAGGTTTTTTTTTTTAAGTTGAGAATGAGGACTAACATGTTAAACCAAAGGTTTTCTGAAAAAGGAACTGAAGAGGAGAGAGATGGCACCGCTGGAATTCTGGATATAGGGGTGGAGACGGAATTCTCCATATATAGGGGTGGAGATGGAGAATGGGCAGAATTGCTTGAGGGCAGGCAACTGAGGGTAGTAGAGCATAAGGGACAAAGTTCTGAAGCAGGGATATATTGAGAGGAGATGAAATGAAATATTGGATAGGATGGAAGAAATGGAAAGCTGTTGCAGAGATTTAAGGGAGGGCACTTCATCATCTGGGTGATGAGAGAGGTAAAGGACACGTGTCTTACATAATAGTGAATGCGACAGTATGCATCCTAAACTCATAAACCAGCAGATGAAGACTTACTGTTTTGTTTGGTGTCCCCTCACTGACACTTCTTTCTGTGCATGTGTTGTAATTGGTTGTGTGATTTATTAACTGTTGTTTTTAATTGTTTTTATAATATATATAATATATAAAAAAACTGGTGCTGCAGTTTCTGAAATGGAACATGTATGGTCAGAGTGTGACTTAATATTATTTTCATCATAGTAAAGGCATTATTTGATTTCTACCCTTTATTTTTGTGTGGCAAATCTATATATCTAATAGCCAAGTTGTCCCCTCTGTGCTGATATCTAAACCTGCACATCGGTGGCACTTGGGGGGCAGGGAGATTTTCCTGGACACTTGGGGCAGTCCCCAGGTGTTGTCAGGTAGCCCTGTCATAGAGTTTTAAAAACTGTACGGGGGATATTTAAATCCCCCCCAAAAGTAAGAGCGTTCCCTGCGCATGTGCAGAGAACGCTCTGGGAACACTGTGGTGGGCTGGCAGCTGGGAGGGGAATGGGGGGGAAATCGTCAGGCCTGGCGGCTGGGAGGCGCTCAGGCCTCGCCACCGGTGCCCGCGGGGAGGAGGGGGAATCGGCAGGCCCGGCGGCTGGGAGGCAGGCCTCGCTGCCGGTGCCCACGGGGGGGGGGGGG